ACAGCCTCATCTTGCATTAGAAAAAAACAAAGAGCTAATAGAACAATGAGAAGACTAGATTTGTCAAAAAAGAACCCTATTAAGAATGTATGATTGTTAAAAGTAAAAAATATAAACATAATACAGTCAGAATTGTATAAAAGATGCTAAAAATTTTAGAAAAACTAATCTCTGATCAATATTCACAGGAAATAATCAGCTCAAAATTCATTTAAATCTCTCATTTTACACAATATTCCTGCAGTTATTGTGTTCACTGTTTGGGTTCATTGTACAGTTTATCACTTGTTCTCTACTGTTTTTGTGATTCACTGAATATAATATGAAATATCCATAAAATATGTCACATAGTCATGGGTCATCATGATAGAAAATGTGTCCCTTAAGAAAGAAAGGTTGGGAACTACTGAACTATGTATGATACCAATGTTTTCATCTGCTGCCCATAATAAATAAAAACCCCTACATTATTTCTATAATATTCTTCAAACAAGTCACCCTACAGTGGTTCAGTGGTAGCTTATTTACAGAAACCTAATAATGCATGAAATATATTGTATATGATATCATTAAAAACCCATTCCTGTTTATGGCCCAGTGTTTTTTTATCCATCTAAAGGAAAGATAAGATTTAGGGAGTCTAATTAATACCAGTGAAGTACAAGATGTTTCAGTACTCTGGTATTATAGGAATTAGATTTGTGGGAAAACCCCTGTGGACAGGTTTAGAGTGTCCCTACAGTTTCTGAAAATGAATCTCATGGGTTCTTTTTTTAATAATAGCTAATTGTCATGTCATAAAAAAAGGCTGGCTTGAAGGTGGAGTGAAAAAGGGAAGAAATGCTGCCTTCGGGTGTCCCTTGTAAATTTTTCTGTGAGTTTTCAGAAGCCAGACAGGACCTGCATGTGGTCAGGTAACAGAATGTGTCACAGCTGTGATACATGTATTACCTGGAAGTCTGCAGTGTTACAAAGAAATACCAAGGGGGAAATACACAGTGTAGCATCTGTAGGCTAATAACTGTTCAATAAATAACCCCCTTAACATTCCCTAGATATGAAAAGTTTTTTCTGATTAAAAAACGGGAAGGGAAGGTGAAAGTTAGACTATGTGTTAACGGTTTTGTGATGTGATTTCCCCCCGGCCTTATCTACTTTACGTTAGCTGTTAGCCTAAAACCACTTTTCACCTCAGCCAGTAACATCATCAGTTAATCTTCCCCTTCCACTGGAAGTTTACTTGAACATTTCCTAGATATTAAAACTGCAAGTTTTTCTCATGTAAAACCAACATTATTAGGCTATTACATTGTTACCTGAATGTGTCCCCTTAACAATCCCTAAATGTTACATTGGCAAGTTTTTCTGATGTACACGTTATTAGTACATTACTAGAAGGTTCTGGAAACATTCCCTAGATGTGAAAATGGCATTATAATATTGTTACATTCCCAGAGAGTTCTGGGAAGGTCAGTTCAATGGTGGACGTTAGGCTATGGGTTAGCTGTTGTGATGTGATATTTTTTGGCCTAATCTACTTTACGTCTATTTAATTGTTTCATGAACGCCTCAGACCTCCACACTTCCGCAACAGTAACGTCAGGCTCAGCCCAGCGCTTTGTTTTTCTGACCTGTCAATCTGGGAGTTTCCTTATTTCCGACTACACCTCAAGGCAACAGAGCTTCCTCCTCCCTCTCCTCCTCCT